AAAGTTGATTTTGACCATTAAATGCTCCACATAGTTTGGGGTATTTAATGGTCAAAATTAATGGTACCAGGCTATTAGAACAATTACTTACAATCCCCATTAACATGCCACTGCTTTTAGATCATTTTGAAAGACCTCCTCATATGGCTCATATGAAAAATGAGATTGATGGGCATAAGGGAGACAAACTTTTAGGCATGAGTCCACATTTATAGAATTCTGTTCTATTATTGGAAGCCATTAAGAGGGTATTTAATCCCCTATTTATTCTGAATGAGTTCTCCCCCTTGATATTTTCCTGCTGGTAGTTGTTCTGGTGCCAGATTATTTTGTTTTAATGATATTGTGCTGAATCAGATGTTACTATTTATTCCCACTTTGTGGTTGTATTTTATTTAATCTCACTGAAGTCTTTAATACTGTTTGGTTTACACATGTTTACAGTGATTTGTTATGATGAGTCTATATTTATATGATGAAAGAGAATGTGTGATTACTTGGCGCTAAAAGATGGCCTAAAAGCACATTTTTAATTATTAAATGCACTTAAGGTATAGCTACGCTGCAGAATTAATGCAGTCTGACACAATTGCCTTGGCTTAATTCTATGGAACCATAAGACTGTAGTTTTGCAAGGTCTTTAGCCTTCTCTGCCAATGATGCCTCACCAAACTACAACTTCTATAGCATGGAACCATGGTAGTTAAAGAGGTTTCAAACTGGATTATTTCTATGGTGTAGATACTCTTTTGTGGGAATTTCGTGGCTTTCCTTTTCTGACTGCAGCTTCTAACAATGTGTTGGGTCACTGCTTCTCTTAAAATATCCCCTGGGGCCAAGGAACAGCTTGCAGGGCAGGTTAGGGGGTGGTGTTCAGAATCCAGCCCCAGAATGGTATGAGCATTTGGAATTCCCTTAGGTGGTGTTTTAGATCTGCTTCCAGAGGATAGCCTCCAGGTTCCTTATTTCTCAGAGTCACGTCAGACATACCTAGAAAACCCCCAGGCCACAAACAGCAAGGAATTCACAGAGCTATTTCATATTAGCAAAGGGCTACTTTCAGGGCATTTCACATGCAGCTTGCTTGTCAAACCTGCCTCCTCCATGGAAGGAAAAAAAAACCTAAAGTCTCCAAACTTTAGTGGCAGGAAAAGGCCAACAAGTTGTCATGTCAGAGCTAAATATTTAAAATGATTAAAAATATTCCTAGGTATGCACAGAGTTTTTCCCTCTTGGTTGACTACTGTTACTCTCCCCAGACATTGTAAGAATGAAGGAGAAGTTTAGCTTTCAGCTATCTGTGTGTTCGGAAAGCCTTCTATTTAGGAACTAAAGAAGAAAAAGAAGTTTTCTTTTTGTGCATGGATTCAATGAGGGTAAATTACACAGTTTTAACTTTGTGTATATTGATACACTACATGTAAGCTGAGCTTACAAAAATGTATTTGTAGTTATAACCAACTGACACTATGTTTCTGGCTTATAGTGACACAAAGACAAACATAGCACAAGGCTTTCTGGGGTTGAACGTGTGTGATCCATCCATTGGGTTTCCATGGACAAGTGGGGAATCAAGCCCTGGTCTTCAGAGTCACAGTCCAATGTTGAATCTGCACTTCACTACACCAGAGTTTTCCAAACTTTCCATGCTGGTGACACGATTTTTAGACTGGCATAATTTCACAATATGATAACTCAGTTTTACTAGCAAACCGAAAGTTAAACTAAGAATATGAATACACACACACACACACCAATAAAGGGACTATTTTAATGAGATGCAGAATAGTCTGGAGCAGCATTCTTCAACTGTTCTGAATAACTCTCCATCTGATGGCGCCATGTGATTTCTTTCTAATGAGAATGGCTGGGACTGCTCCCTTGGTTTGGCTTAGCAGCTGATCCAAGTAGTGGGTTGGGGAAACATTTTGTGAGGAGGGGCTGGGGGGGGGGCATTTTTACGCAACGCACCTAGGGACTACATGCAACACACTCATGTGGCAAGTTGCACAGTATGGGAAGCTCTGCACTGCACCATACTGGCTGTGACTAACTGCTGTCGACACTCTGTATTGATTTTTACGTATCTGATTAAAATGTTCCCTATAGGAATCTCTAGATCCTCCAGTGTGATTCCAGTGCACTGAAAGTTGACCACAGAGTTGGGTTGGAGGACATAGGAATTCCTAGAGTTGTTCTCTATGGTACGGTATGTATATGCATTTTTTATATTACAGTATAGTGGTATAGTACAATATTGGAATGTATGTTACTAATATTGTGCTATGCTAATAATATAACATATTGTGTTTACATATAACTTGTAAGCTGCTCTGAGCCCCCTTTGGGGTCAGAAGGGTGACATATGAATGTCGTAAATAAATAAATATATACATGTACGTGTATATTTATTTATTTATTTACTATATTTATACCCCGCTATTCTCAATCCTGAAGGGAACTCTGGGGAGCTTTACATATAGGGAGGTACTTAATGCCTTAAAACAAGATATAATTAAAATAAACAATTAAATTAAAATAAACATTAATACACATTAGGTGGTACTTGTGACATTAGTTCCAGTGAATCATCTGGGTCACAGAGTTGTGTCTTTGTTTGTAGTCCGTCTGTGCGATTTTCTTGCAACAGCTGAGGATATGGTCCATGGTTTTATCAGCTTCCTTGCACAGTCTACATTTTGGGTCATCAGTTGATTTTTCGATCCTGGCCTTAATTGCATTTGTTTGATGGCTTGCTCCTGGCCTGCAAGAATCAGGCCTTCTGTCTCCTGCTTCAGTGTTCCTTTCATAGCCATAACCAGGTCTTTTCCCTGTCAACTTTTCCTTCAATTTTGTGAAGGAACAGCCCATGCAATGCTTTGTTGTGCCAGCTGTCAGCTCTGGTTTGAAGTGAAGTTTTCTTGTATTGGTTCTTTGTCTGCTGTGCTTTGAGAAGTTTCCGATTATTGACTTCAATTAAAGCAGGTTTTTGGCTTTCCTTGACATATGAGCACCTAAGCCATTAGTATTATGGAGAAACAAACCAAAACGAAGCCTATACTGGCTTGCTCGACACCCAGGATAAAAAGGACCGCGGTAGATGCTGCTGATTCTGGACATCCATCAACAAGTGGGCTACAGAATCAAAATACAAATGAACATTCACAGAAGCGGCAGAAATATACAATGCCAGAAAACTGCACTATTATTATTATTATTATTATTATTATTATTATTATTAGAAAGACAACAAGATAAGTCCACAGCAGACACTCTGCTGGCTGTTAAATTGGATCACACGTTGGACACTTCCCAAGTGTCTAGGACTGTGTGATGTATCGGCGAATAATGTGTGCAGATCCCAGTAAGGTGGCCTTTTGCAGCTGGCAGCTGGTAATTTTTGTCAGCGCCGATTGTGTTTAAGTGCAGGCCAAGGTCTTTAGGCACTGCACCCAGTGTACCGATCACCACTGGGACCACCTTGACTGGTTTGTGCCAGAGTCTTTGCAGTTTGATTTTTAAATCCTCATATCATGTCATCTTTTCCAGTTGTTTCTCTTCAATCCTGCTGTCACCTGGGACTGCAACATCAATGATCCATACTTTGTTTTTTAACACGATTGTGAGGTCAGGAGTATAATGCTCCAAAACTCTGTCTGTCTGAATCCGGAAGTCCCAGAGGAGTTTGGTGTGTTCATTCTCTGTAACTTTTTCCGGCTTGTGATCCCACCAGTTCTTTGTTGCAGGCAGAAGCGGCCCTAGGTAATTTTCAACGGTAAGCAAACAGTATTTTGGCACCCCTCCCAACCAATCACTGATATATATTTTCTGTTCATCGTGGGAATTCTGTGTGCCATATTTGGTTCAATTCCATCATTGGTGGAGTTCAGAATGCTCTTTGATTGTAGGTGAACTATACATCCCAGTAATTACAACTTGCATATGTCAAGGCCTATTTTCTCCCAAGAGCGCCTCAAGAGTGCCCCTGGGCAAAATCAACTATACTGCAAATGCTTACTTTACATAATGGGTTGAGCCGCCTCGGGTTGCAGGCAGATGGCATTTGTGGCACAAGTTCCAATGAATCTGAGCAACAGTGTTGTGTCTCTGCTTGTAGTCTGTCTGTGCAATCTTCTTGCAGCAGCTCAGGATGTGATCTATTGTTTCCTTTTACAGTATTTCTAAACCACATTTCTCACCCCTAGGTGTTTCATCTGCTTCCTTGCAGTGTCTACTTTTGGGATCTGTTTTTGACTTTTCAGTTCTGGCTTTGATGGCATTGGTTCTAATGGCTTGTTCTTGGGCTGCCAGAATCAGGCCCTCCTTTGCCTCCTTTTTCAGAGTTCCATTTGTGAGCCACAGCCATATTTTTTCTTTCTCAATTTGGCAATTAATTTTTCCCAGGAACTGTCCATGGAGAGCCTTCTTTTGCCAGTTTCGTCTTCTGCTCTGGATTGTGTTTTTACGGTATTCCTTCTTTGTCTTTTGCACTTTAAGCAGTTTACTACTATTGACTTCCCTCAATGTTGGCTCTTGACTGCCTTCCACATAATCTGCCAGTGCGTGTTTCTCTTCTTCTACTGTTTGTTTCACTTGCAGAAGCCCTCTCTGATATTATTATTATTATTAGTATTATTATTAGTATTATTATTAGTATTATTATTATTAGTATTATTATTAGTATTATTATTATTATTATTGGTCCGCAGTGTAGTTTCAAAGTGCATTTTAGGTCAGTGTGGCTGGGGAAGCCTGAGGCGGGCTTCAGCCCTGCAGCGCCTTGAGGCCTCCTCGCCTTGACAGCGCTCTGGGCCTCTTTCAACACTAGGGGGCGCTGAGGAAAGAAAGAGAGAGAGAGAGAGAAAACCCACCTCAGCTGTCTCCATGGTTACCGCTGGGTGCGTACGGGGCCTTACGAAGCTGACGCAGTGGGCGGCCCGGCGAGCGGAGGCGGCGGCGGCGCGCGCGGAGGCGGCGTTGGAGAATCGGGAGGAGCGGGGGCAGGCTGCCAGCCAGCCCCGGGATGGAGGCAACGGCAGCAGCTCCTCTGGCCAGCCGTTGGCGGCGTCGCCGGAGACGGCGGCCAAGGGGTGAGTGGCGGCGGCAGCGAGGCAACCCAGGGCGGGTGGAGTCCCCTTCTGTCCGCGGGCGGGAGAAAAGGAGCCCCTTCCTCATGGCCCCCTCCCTGCCTTGGCGCGAGGGGCCCCGTGGGGAGGGGAGGGGAAGAGCTGCCCTCCTCCCTCACTCCCCTCCTCCCTCCCTCGGCTGGGGCCTTTCCTCACCGAGAGGCAGCAGGCCGCGTTGCCATGGTGAAGGGGATGCCTCCCTCCCCCTCCCCTCCCCACTCCCCTCCAAACAGGTGCCTCCTTTTCCCGCTCTGGGCGAGGTCGGAGGGGTGAAGGGAGGCCAGCGTGGCCTGGCGGCGCGAGGAGGGCTTTTGCTGCATGTGCCCGCCCTGGCTGCTCGCTCGCCGGCTCTCCCCGCTTCCCAGCCCTTTCTTTCCTCCTCCTTGGCCTGGGCCTGTGCTCCCCTTCCTAGCCCTCGCTGGGGCGTTGCTTGCTTTCTTGCGGGCTCCAGTGTCCGGGGGAAGCCCAGAAGCGCCTCTGGAGCAGCCCCGGGTGCCTTTCTTTCTGTGCCTCCTCCGCGCATGACTGGGTGTGTGCAGGAGGAATGGGTGGCCTTGGGTCTTAGAAGCCCTTTTGCAACATTCTCCGCTACTTTCAGCCTGGAGGGTGGCTTTTTTACCCCTGTATTTGTTGGACGAATTGGTGACACGTTGCCTTGTTTGCCTTTTGGTGGAGCTTGAAGTCTTGAAGCTCCTTCTGTCTTTGAATTTCAGGAGGGATTAAGGGGGGAAATGTCCTCTGCTCTTTGAATGTGCATTCTGGGAACCGGCTTTCTATGCGTTAGCGTTTACTTTGCACCATTCTTGGAGATCTTTCTATATCGTGGCAAGACAAGGGAGGAATTTGTCATTCGTCTCTGAAGAAGCTCTCTATTAGGTCGGAATATTATACAGTAGACTCTTGGGCCACATCTGCACTGTCAGTCACATAATGCAAATTGCAGCTGCTTTATGTGGTCAATGTGGACCACTGGTTCCCAGCCTTTTTTTTTAACCAGGGACCACTTTGACCAGGGACCACTCCCTAATATTAGTACCAAAAGGGTTGTGAATCAGTTTTTGATCCACTTTAGATTTGATTTGGGTATTAGGGATTCAGAAAATTACATTGGATAGACTACATGGACTCTAGTTTCCCATACAGAACATATGCCATCCAGTAGTCGCCATCTGCTCGCCCACAGAAAACCATATTTAATAAGCCTCGGCACTATAAGAGGGTTTCGTGAGACCAGTTGCTCTCGTTGCAACTGTGTAGTAATGGTGAGGCCGCAGACCATATTTTAATTCTTGTGGGCCACTGGTGGTCCACAGACCACAGGTTGGGAAGCACTGATGTAGATTCATAGTATGCAGTTCAGCTGTATTGAACTGTGTTGTTGAAGGCTTTCATGGCCAGAATCACTGGGTTTCTTTGAGTCTTCCAGGCTGTATGGCCATGTTCCAGAAACATTCTCTCCTGATGTTTTGCCCACATCTATGGCAGGCATCCTCAGAGATTGTGAGGTCTGTTGGAAACTAGGCAAGTGAGGTTTATATATCTGTGGAATATCCAGGGTGGAAGAAAGAACTGTATTGAACTGCATTATAAGTCTTCACTGACCAGGGCCGTAGCCAGGATTTCGAATCGGGGGGGGGGGGCTGAGTCCGAGTGAAAGAGGGTCTACCCTAGCAAACCTTTTGTATCGTTACCCCAATACTCCCATGCATATGGGATATATTGAGTAGGGTGATCAGATCATGATATGAATAAACATAACAGTTTAAATATGCACCAGTAAGGCCTTTTCACGAACCACCATGATAATTTCAGGGGGGACTGAAGCCCCCCAAGTCCCCCCTGGCTACATGCCTGTCACTGACCATATAAAGCAGTTTGTAGATAGGGCCTCAGCTAACCAGAACTCAAGCAACCAAAATTCTCAAGCAAGCAGCAAATAGTAGTAGTAGTAATAATAATAACTTTACTTTTAACCCGCCCTCTCTCCCCAAAGGGACTCAGGGTGGCTTCCATAAACACAAATAAATAATACTTTTTATCAGAAATGTTCTATTAAGTTTTGTGTTTCTTTGTCTGTATTTGATTTACTATATTTCAATATTAATATCAAGTTAATACACAATTTATGGTATAAAATAGTATAAGGAATTATATTAGGGCTGTTTTTAATAGTAACTCTCAAGCAACCAGAAATTACATTCATATCCGGCATCTACCCATCCAGTTGACCAACAGTTTGCTGTATATTATTGCACAGGACAAAATCTATGGAAAGTTAGTTGTGTTTACATATATTGAAATCAATAAGGCCTTGTCATATGTAAAATGAGTTTGTGCATTTTCATAAACCCTGCTTAGTTCAGTGGTACATTTCCAAGCATGCATAGGATTGCAGGCTTATTCCACTTGATTTTACTGGGACTTAAGCATGTCTGGTTTTTCACTGGATACTGTATTTCTGTTTGGATGGTTGCCTAGTGGTCAGATAGTGAGCTGGGAATGACAGATTTTGCAACAAACTGCCTCAAGGGATTTATAGCTTAGGAAGATGCAGACAAAATTGGTAAAAGGGCATAAAGGGATAAGCCTGTAGCCAGCTTACAATTATGTGCCATGTGTATGCCTACACCCTTGCTGTGTACTTGACTGGGCATTTCATATTCCTCTTAGATGTGCTTTCTAAATGAAACAGCGTGGGATGAAATGTATGGATCTGTAAACAGGTAATGTAAGCCTGTGAAAATGTGCATATATTGGATGGCTTGGACTAAAATGTTATATGAAGTAGTATTCCTTGAGATAATCATGCTGAGAGTGGAAATATATAGTAGATCTCCTTGCTAAGGGTGTTAATAGGTGACATTTGATGCAGTGGTGATTGCAGTCGATTAAACTGTGTTCCACAGTTGAGAATTTGAAACAATTGATTAACTCAGTTAATCAAAGTATTATCAAGCAGAGCAGATCATGAAATTCAGTATTGTAACACGTAGTTGAGAGGACTATGAGTGTGGAGTGTGAAATTGTGCCAAGCCTCACAAACTTTAGGAATGTACATTTTGCTTTATTCATCTGTTTCAAAGATATCCCCTTTGGGGAGATAAAGTGGGGTTTAAATAAATATAGTAATAATATCCTTATGATGAGAATGATCTTCATGGGACAGATTATTTTTGCCTTCTTTAAGCACGTCTCAAGATTGTACTGTCAATTATGCTACCTCTATGCATATAAAAATGGAGAGCATTTGGTATTTGTTTCAAGCCTTGACAATGTTGTCTCTGGCCCTAGTTGCAAAATGGCATATAAGGTCCACGAGAATGACCTGGGCAAACAATTCTTTTATTCTGTTTTGAAATCATCCCATATTACAGAGTGAAATGCGTTCAAACATGTTGGCAGAAAAAAATCCATGTTAAGTTTAGCAGTTCTCTTCTACAGGCCTTCTTTTGGATCATTCAAGTGGTGAAGTACATTTTCCAAATGCTGATTAGGGTTAATTTAGAACATCTGCTACATTATACTGTTATGTCATTAGAAAAAGTTTTTCATACTCTTTAATTGTTCTAGTTGTTGGCAGAAGTAGTCCTGATTAAGCCTCTATCGTCACACTTTATGCTTTTAAAACAGGCATGGACAAACTTGGGTCTTCCAGGTGTACTGAACTTCAACTCCCACAATTCCTGACAGCCAACTGGCTGTTAGGAATTATGGAAGTTGAAGTCCAAAACACCTGGAGGGTCCACATTTGCCATGCCTGTTTTAAAAGGTTTTAATTTCTCTCTCCTTGTCCACTTTGCTCCTTTGTCCTTGTCTTACTTATTTCTGTTACTGAGCTCCAAGCACAAAAGTAAACTCAGGCCCCATCTGCACTGACCATATAATCCAGTTTTGAAATGCATATTATTTACTTTAAACTGGATTATGTGAGTCTACATTGCCGTATAATCCATTTTGATCCAGATAATCTGCATTTAACTGCATGATATGGTAGTGAAGATGGGGGCTTAGTGGAGGAAGAGGATAGGGGCAGAATCTTGCCCTTCCCATAGCCTCTGCAGCATTTTCTAACTTGTGTGTTATTCTTCATGAATAACTGTCTTCTTGACAACATGTATGTTACTTGGCCTCATAAGTCCCTATAACCTGTTGGAGAGCATAATTTTTTTTGCAAGATACTGTGGGTTTCTTTAACCATGCCCAATAGTAATTCCTCCTATACTTCTTGGTGAACTTCTTTAAAAATGAAAACAATTTATTTAAACCCACTTCCCTGCCATGGTATTACACATAAAAGAGATCATGGCTGGGGCTTAGTTTCTTACGGGTTCAGTCCTGGAATCTGTTTTACTGATGGCTTTCATGTTTGTGGAGTAGGAAATCTTCTGTAAATTTTAATTTAAACATAAAAGGAACGATCCAAAGTTCTGATATTAACTGCTGGCTGGGGTTTAGCCTCTTGAATGACTACTTTAAAGTTGGGAATAAAATCCAAAGTAGATTTACCACCTCCTTGATATGGAAGGTTTCACTCACTAGGACTGAGTCTTGAAAAATGTACTGTAATCCATGTAAGTACTTCCTAAGCATGTGCATCAGTACTAGGAAGGTTAGTACTTGAATGAGGGATTGCCAACAAATGCCAGCTGCTTTAGGCTCTATTTCAGAAAAAGGAAGTGGCAAAACCAACTCTATATTCCTTGTCTGAGGCATAAGGTCGCCATAAGTTGACAGGTAACTTGAAGGCACATATACACACAAAATATTGTGCAATTTGTACTACATATAGGATATATCTATGTTATACTCTTATAGCAGTTAGATATAATTTTAGATGCCACATATGAGAGCTGTGTATTGTCTGTGATAACAGCTTCTATGATAACCTGATTTAATCCTCAGTTCTTCTTTTCAAGGTATTTTGGAAACCGTATCTCAAGGAAAGGCATTAGGGAATTTTAATTTTCTGGTACCTAGTATTCTGCAGAATGGACCCATGATAGTTTAATGGTATCAAACTGATAAATGTCTCATGTAGATAACTTAGAATTACAACTTAGGCTTATTGTAAGGATCCCATCCAAGTTTGTGTCTGAGCCATTAATCAACTTGGTCACATAATTATGAAGGGATTACAGGGATTTGACTGTGATTGATTGACAAAAATTTCAGTTAATATCGAGAAAAGGCTACAAATCACTGAATGATTATATTATTATTTACAAGTTATCTAATATAAAAATGGAATCCATTGTGCAGTTTTTAAGTTAACTTCCTCTTTACTAGTGTTAGAGCATAATTTTCTGCTTGAGGAGTAATTTTTTATTGACAGTGGTAATTTCTCTAAAATATTGTTATATATATATATATATATTAAATCTACCAGTCAGCATAATTAAACCTAGAATGTTTACATTAGACATTTTAAATTCATTTTCTTATTATGGAATAAGTCTCCCTTATCCAAAATGCTTGGAACCAGAAGTTTTCATATTTCTTTTTGGACTTTGGAATACCTGTATTTCCATATACAAGTGAATGAGTGATGGGGAGAAGGGGCTAGTCATACATCCAGTGCCCACTTCCTCCTCAAGGACTGTCAAGACACTTTCTGCCCTTTGAGCAAAGTAACTGGAAATTCCTACCCCACTCCTTCCCCTGTGAGCCTGTTTCATTTCCTCTGGGCTTGATGCACATGGCAGCCAATGTGTTTGCTCTAAGCTCATCCTTAAAGCCGTTCCCAGGCAAGGGCAAAAATGTCTGGGAAGTCTTCTCTGGTGAAGTTCACAGTGCTCTCTGGATGTCAGTGGTCTTTAACTCTCATTACCCTCTCTCTTTGCCCTCCAAATCCTTCCAGTATTTAAAGTTGGTCATGATTGTTACGTGTGCCAAATTTGGTCCAGTTCCATCACTGGTGAAGTTCATAGTGCATAAAAAGTTAATATTTCAAAGTAATACTTGGAATAATGTATAGTGAGACAAATTCTGTATTGCCTGTTAAATGTTTGGCTGTGTCAATAAAAATGAATACTGTAAAAAGAAGTCATTCATGTCAATAGGGTTCACTGTCATGTTCAATTTAGCTTAGCCCAATGAAGTTTAGTAATGTATTGCTCCCACGGGTACGGAGGTTGCACTGTATTTCTGCACTTAAAGAATTTGAATATAAATTAGGAGGTCAATATTTATTGAAAATGTTTGTTCATAATGTTTTGTTACAAACTCTATAGAACTTTCCTATTAGAAGACCAAATTCAGATCCTTGCTCACCCTTTTCTACATGGCTTTGGACTGTTAGGCTGGCCAGCCTCATCAGGTTCTTGTGAGAAAAAAAGAAGATAGTCATTGTAAGCTCCCCTGAGTTCCTTTGGAGAAGGGCTCCAGGGATTTTGAGATGAGAGAGTGAACATGGAAGATGAGAGAGTTGCCCTACTTGTCAATGCCATTATGCAATCTTGCCCTCAATATGCACATGCCCTTGCAGAACTTCTGCTCATACTTTTCTGTACTTCTTTTCAAGGTGCAGCTAAGTGCTATTGAGTATGCAGAAACTGAATTGGTCAAAGACTATAGTGAGATTAAATAAATATAGATCATGAGGCATTGAAAACTATGAAATGCTATGACATTTTCAAAAAGCTGTTCCCTAGAGAGCTGATGCTAGAATTATCTCATGTGATAAAGGGATTATTGAATTTCATGTTAAGTAGAAGGAGGAACCATCGGTGTTTGCTTGATTTCATTGTAAGTACAAAGAAAAGTGAAATGTGGCAGCTAAGGGATAGCTGAACCACAGGATGTCCTTATGAAATTCTGTTGGTGGCTTTGTTAAATATGCAAGTACAAATTATTGAGTTTCCCATTATTTGCATTGCTGTTGTTTTTTGTTGTTTTTTTTGCTACTACTTAGTAGCTAAGTGATGTCATAGTAAAATTAATTGATATTTCTCTGTAACTAGACAATATGGTTGGAGTATGATCTATAAAACCCAGTGTGCTATCTCAGGAGGTGCAGATTTGTGCCCAGTTGGACTGTAGATCAATGTTTTTAATGTTTTGAGATGCAGGAGGTATACAACTTATTGCTATCTCTGTTTAGGCAGCAGATATCATATACAGTGAGCAAGTATCTTCTTTTCCCATACCAAAGCATAATGAACCCCATTTGCTGGATCCAAACTTTACCGTTGTAAAGGTTGAAATGCAATTAAATGACAATCTGATTAAAACCTAATTCAAAGTAACAAACTTCTCTCTGCAAAAATGAATCTTTTTTTTAATTTGGAGCAAGCCTGTTTCCTTGCAATTAAATGCCGTGATTCCCTATATATGAATTAAAGTTCAAATGTGAAAAAATTGCATTGCTATATTAAGATGTTTATAGCATTAGTTTATTATTACTGAATAATATTAAGTCAGTAGACATATACTTTTAGCAGGAATAGCTTATATAAATCACAATCTATCTATGTATATAATAAAAGTCAAAGTTTGTATGCGGCGAAAGTGTGGCGGTGTATGTGCCAGCTTTCTGATTGGCTGCCGCTGTGGTGCTATTTGCATATGGTCTCTGATTGGCCGGCTTCAACAGGAGCCCCAGGTGGAGAAAAGAGTTCATGACAGAAACAGGGACATAAGAGAAGAAAATTTGCATATGGTCTCTGATTGGCCAGCCTCAATTCCAAGATTCCAAGATGACAAAGAGAGGAAAGGAAAAGGCCAG